ATGACATCATGTAGGTTTTCCTACAAGACTTCAACTTGGAACTGCTGCTGTCGTTCAATTCATGCTCACTTGTAGCAAGAGCGGAATCAACTATTTGCACACTTAGTCAACAAAGTTGACTTTTTCTGTTTTCTTTTTTAGAAATTATATAGGTTTTTTTACGTAAAAGCCTGTCCATGGCTGTACGTCTGTGGTCGGGTGATCGAAAGCTATATTACTCGATTTTCTTAGTTACAATGCCCTATTTTTGTAAAAAAAATGACGAAAATTGTTGCCCACTCCATATATTGACTAGTGATTTGTACGATTAGGTTATTATACTTTTGACAGCCCATTTTCTGTTTTTTCTTTAAATTCTATAGGTTTTTTACGCATAATCCTGTCCATGGTTGGACGCCTGTGGTCGGGTAATCGAAAGCTATATTACTAGATTTTCTTAGTTCGTTCAATGTCCTACTTTTGTCAAAAAAAAAGATGAAAAATGTTGTCCACTCTCTAAATCGACTAATGATTTGTACGATTAGTTTATCATACTTTTGATAACCCAAGCAAAGGCTACAAGCAGAAGCATACTATAGAACTATAATAAATTGTGGCTATGAGGAGAAACCAAGAATCTACTATAATTATTTTTACGGTGTTTGGCGATTATGTGCAAAATGTCATACGAAATAAGTAAGCATAATCGACTGAACCATGTGAGAAAGCCCCATAGCAAAACTGTACACTGGGAAAACCGATCTTAAATGCAGCTGCACAGATGAATTGAATAATAAAGGAGCGTTTTCTGTTATTCGCTTTCTCAAAATACTCCTATAACTTTTGCAAAAACTATCGATATTTTCCGCGGGTAGTATTTTCAGGTACTGTTTTAAGATCAATTTTGTATTTTAAATAATTTAAAAATAAGAGATCGATTGTGACAAACTTAACCATACGAAAATCGCATGTCGTTTACACAGATTTCGCAAAGGCATTTTACAAGATAGACCATTCAGTGCTTTTATACAATATGAATGCTTTGGGTTTCAAGAGAGATCACTTTCTTTTCTGCATTCCTACTTCACTGATAGAAAACTCAGTGTTACTTATAATCGACATCAATCAAATTGCTTTATTCCTACTTCACGTGTACCTCAAGGATCTGATTTAGGTTCTCTATTGTTCATACTGTTCATCAATGACTTATGTGACATCTTAAGAAAGGATAGTATTTGCGGTCGACCTGAAATTTTTTGCAGAAATGGACAATTGGAAGACTGTAAACGGCTACACAATCAACTAGCTGCTATTGATGAATGGTGTGAAAGCAATATAATGGTTCTTAAGGTATGCCCGGAAACAGAACCAGATTTTATACCACTACTCCTTGAACAACATTATTATTGACAGATGTGAAATTTTTTGTGACTTGGGTGCAACCTTTGACTACCGACTGAGCTATCTTCAACATTATAATGAACGCGAACAAAATGCTAGGTTTCATTATCAGGAATTGTAAGTTGATATTAAATATCTCGTTCGTTCCAAGCTGGAATATGCATCTGTCGTGTGAAGTCCCTATCACCAATGTTACATTAATTGTATGTTCACAGAGATTTATTAAATATTTGGCTTTTAAGTCTGACTCTGTTTACCCTGAGCGTGGTTGTGATTATCACATGTTTTTAAGTAAATTTGAAACTCATTCATTAGTGTCTCGACGTAAGCATGCATCTGTAATGTTTGTTTACAAAATCCTTAATGGCGGCTTTGACTCATCTACATTGCTATCTCAAATTAATGTATGTTCCTAGGCTCAACTCACGTATTAATGTAGTATTCTTTTGTGAGCGCGCACTAACAAACTTACATTTGAACTCATTTGCTAGAGGTACAGCTCAACAAGTGTAGGAAAAGTAGTCTCTTGTCGTGCCTAGACTAGTCAGCGTACAGTCAGGAGAAAAATTGTCAGGCAGTGAAACAACTTTATTACTTATTATCTGAGAATTGTATGTATTGTTACGGATTCGTGGGTTGAATACATACAATTTTACGTTATTAATTGTAGCCATTTATTCCTTGTGTGCTAAGAGATTTACTCGTTTATAATGGATTTTAAATCCAAATTACAAGGTAAAGTTTTATCTGGAGGTTGTAGCAAATGTTATATTCTTTATGCAATAAGAAGCAGATGGAAATAAACCTCTGTTGAAGAAGGTGTTTCGACATCTTTTTCGACACCAAACAAAAAAAGACAAAGACAAATTTTGCTGCGCATACAAAGAAAATTTGTTCAAGAACACAATTAAACTGGATCACATGATACTTTGAGGAAAGTGATGAGGGCAATGGGATTTCGTTGAAAGAAGACAAGAACTAATTGAAGACTTTGTATGGAGATACTATAGATTCAGCATCTCAGGAGAAATTTTCTGAGTATGGACGAAACATACATCCATACATCCCATACGCATGAAAAGAGTTGGAGCGATAATACCAATGGGGGCCTTCACAGGCCAGTTTCAAAAGGACATGGATTTATTATTGTGCATGCTGATAGTGAAAATGGTTTCGTGGTAAATGCATATATGAAATTTAAATTCAAAAGTAAGTCGGGTAATTATCATAGTGAGATGAACTATAGTAACTATGAATAATGGCTTTAAGATAAACTGATTCCCAACCTACCAACAATTAGTGTTTAGGTTATAGACAACGCTCCGTAGCAAAATGTTCAGATAGAAAAATGCCCTACTATGTGTTCTAAGAAGGATCATATGAAAGAATGGCTAAGGCAAAAAACATACATTTCACTGACGACATGTTGAAAATTGATTTGCATAGCCTTACCAAAATGCATAAGCCGGCATATTATATAACATATGAAATAGACAGAACAATGGCTGAAAAAGGTCATTCTGTTTTGAGATTGTCGCCATATCACTCCGACTTGAGCCCAATTGAGTTGGTATGGGCATCTTTGAAACAATATGTAGCTGAGAGAAATGTAGATTTTAATCTCAAGACTGTCGACAAACTTTGCGACGACTTTTTCTCGTCTTATCTCTCAGAAGAATGGAAAAAGCGATGTGAACATGCCAAGGGTTTTGAGAAGCAGTATATGGAAATGGAGCCAGCTGTCGACTTATTTGTGGATCAAATAATAATAAACCTAGACGAAGGTAGCGATAGCGAAACCGAAGATTTAAGTTTAAGTAGTAGCTCAGATTCCGATTCCGAACTTTCAGGATTTGATCCTTTATGAAACTTCATAAATCTTTAAAATATTGCTAACTGTATCTAACATACTATGATGTTAGTTTTCTGACCTTACTTCTCATTTGATTGTTTGTTAATTAAAATTATTAACAATTAAAGATATAATGAGTTCCAATCAGTTTCAGCCTTATAGCTACATAGTGTGCAATACTTATTTTATGGAATACATTGTTTTGGTTTCCTTATCTCTATGTTTATCTCATTTATATAAATAATCACATAAATCCAATTTTTAACCATTCTTCGGTAGCGAACAGGTGTGGAAACATAAAACTGTTTCTGTAAAACTAATGTAATATGCAATATTAAAATATTGAAAAAGTAGTATATAAAACTTGTTTTTTAGATATAGATTTTTGAATGCTTCTGGTGGACGTACAATTGTATTTTAAGATATCCTAATGATATAGAATCTTTCATTGTATATTATATACTCTCAAACTCAATTTTATAATGCACATAAACTAATAGATAGCTTAAGATCGGGTGCTCGTGGAATTGATGATGACAGTGATAGAACTTAGTCTTGCAACGTTAATGATAGTTACCAAATTTAAAATATTGGGCTCACAAAAGGATATTAAAAAGTTTGAGACATGCAAACAATTTCGATTAAAAGAAGCAGGCCTCACATAATACGCATTCCATTATTGAAATTATTTGATTAATTTAGGACGCAGCCTGTACCACACGAGATCGAATGGCACGTATTGTACGTGCCACCTCTTTTGCTGCATTCTCCCTCTCTCGTGTGCGCAATCCCAGCAAATCCTCATATCTCTTCCTACACTTGTCGAGCTCTATGTGTGCTAAATTTAATACTATTTGTCAGGTATGTGACATCTTCGATTGTACTTTGAATAACTTGAAATGTGTACTTCAGCAATACTTGGAATAACACTGATTCTTTTTTATTTCGCCTTTTTTCTGTAAGTTAGTTATAAACTATTCAGCATTACTTTATGTGTTATGATACTTTTTTTATTCTTTGCTCTGTAAATGGACTTTCTGTTAGGCAACGCTATTTTATTATTATTACTATCACTAAAGGTAAACTCGAAATGGTACGCCCATGTCAAGTGGGTTGTCACATTGACAGTGACAAGCATATACAATATTAGTAATACTCATACGTTGGCGAAAAAACTTTTTTTTTTTCAAGACGAAGCAAACCAACGTATGTCAGAGCTTGCACAAGAAAACGTTCGCGCATAAAGGCAGATTGCAAATACATGTGTGATAGAGATGGATGTGTAAAAGTTATTGCGGCAATTTTAGTATGACCCGTCAAAAACCCAGAAATGAACTATACTGTTGCAAACCAATGGGTGTCCGATACTGTACATTGAATATCCAAATAGATATACTCCCCAAGGACTTCCCATTACACTACCATACATTACCATTACTAGCGGAGTAGAGCAAATTTATGTATCACACAAATACTAATTCATGCCTCTAATAGAGAACATTTATCCAAATAAGATTTCGGACCGAAATAGAGCACCTACTACCTGCAACTGCGTTGAGTTACACGTTTGCTATATCCCCAAAAGGGAGCAAGAATCAACATACATAATCTTTATTAGGTGTACCATAGGAATAGAAAATCGTACGTTTGCTATAAGGTTACCAACTTTTACATAGTTGGTAACACTATTAATGAATACCAAGGGCACTGCATAGGTTCTGTCATATAAAAAAACTATTTATTCTTAAAAACTTGATTAATAACTTACCTTTAACGTAAAGTAGAGAATGCTTAGAATAATCCGTTCCTATTGTATTTTCAGCAACACATTCATACTTGCCATGATCTTTTTCCTCACTTGAAATGATTTGCAGGGTTCCTGAAACAAAATTTATTATTACTACACCTATATGCATTACATAATTTTATTAACGCAAATGAAATCATAAAAAGTACGTGATATGGTTTCTGTAAATCTTTGAAAAATTCATATGTTTACAAGGTGTCCCAATATTCTGTAGACATAGAAGTACCACGTATTTTTAGACACAAAATAAGTCGATTGGACACGATTTATTTTTATACAAAAGTTCTTCGTTTGTCTGTTAGAGGGCGTTAAAGTTTACTTTTCAACATACGTTATTTCAGATATTTTTAGAACCGATAGTCCGATTTTAATAAAATTTGGAACACATGTGTTTTGCTAGACGTCCAAATATTTGACTTTTACAAAATACCCCAAACGGTCAGAAAAGGGTGAAAACTACCCTCAACCCTACATAAATTATAGCAGAAATTTTTCCCAACTCTCTCAACAACTCTGACTTATTTTATTTAAAAGATCTTGTTTACTTCATTTTTTGAATCTCATGAAGGCAGCATAGTTTTCGAGAGAAAAATGTTTTTCGGAGCTGGTTTATAAAAAATTTTCTTATTTGATTAAGTGTAAAAATCTAATAGGCCTAGTTGAAGGAAATGTGGGATGTTACGTCAGTTTATTTTTGACATTTTGCAGAGCAAGTGTTTGCGTGTAATGAGCGAGATATCCGAATCGACGAATACCAAGTGGTCAGACTTTTGCGATTTTTTTATAAGGGGAGTATTAAAAGCAAAGGTATGTGAGGTTCAGAGAGACAACGTCAATCAACAGGATTCAAAATGCTGCAAATACATTAAAGAATAATCACATCTTAGACAAAGTTAACTATTATTTTTTGCGCCGTATTGTTATGCACAGGAACGAAAATGATGGTTAAATTGAACAACTTTTATGAAAGATTCGCACTATTGCCTGTATTAAATAAAACTGGATAAGAAATATCGTATTCGTTTATGTTTACTAACTACACTTAAGGAATTAATAAGACGTTTGGTAACCTCTTCATGCAACTCATTTTATTCTCAAAAACTATCCGACATGGCCTGTTTTTATAGGAAACAAAAAATTAAGCTAATAAAAAGATCTGCTAAATAAAAAAAACCTAGACTTAGGGAAACTCGCCAAAAGTTCTGCTACAATTTATGAATATAACCGATTTATTGGGTATCAAATATGGTCAGCGTATGCCCTCAGCGAAGGTTTAGGTGAAAAGATGCGACATATTATGTCAGTATCGATCCTTTCAATAGCTCGAAACGATCGGTAAGATTTTAGTTTACGTTGAGTGTCTTCCAGATATTGCGAACGCTTCTCGAGTTTTATTATATTGTTTTTCTGGATGTTTTCCTCTCAGCCCTTGTTTTTAACGAACAACAAAGAAAATTTACCATCAAGTTTACACCAGAAAAAGGCTTTGCTCGTTTTTTGTGTGTATGTTTCATCAAAAGTGAAAAGTAGAAACCGCAAAAAGAAAGCAAAAGTCACTAACGAGGTCATTATTATTTGAGTTCGAGAGTTCCAGGATATTTCCATGAATTATAAGTTAGAAGTTTTTAATGGGCGACCAGATATTGTTTTCCTTTTTCTCTCGTTATATCCACCAAATTTCTCCAGTATATTATGCTGCTAAATACGTGATAAAGAAATATTCTACACAATATCGTTACAGCAAAAAAATGTTTTTCTTCCGAGCGTCTTATATGATTTAAAAAGAGTGACACTTTCTCAACCAGTGACGCTTGTGTGAATCACTATGAAAGTACGCTCGAAGCTTTGTAAACATATTCCCTTCAATAAAGTACCAATAAAAAATCTTTACAAGCAAAGTATATATTGCTCAACAGAACATAGTTCTAATTACAGGACAACTTCAACAATAAAGAGAACATATTATGTCAAATGTAATAATAAAGCAAAAGTAAATAACCGAAGGGACGAAAAAATTGCTAGAGTTTCCAGTAAGTAAACGATACGAAGACAAGAAAACAAACACTTGAAACGAAAATATACCCAGAAGTACAAACTAAACGCAATACAGTAAGTCGAAACGACAAAAAAAGGTAAACACCGATTTCGCTTTTCGATTTATCTTGCCATGAACAACAAGTGATAAAATGGTTAGGTTTTTCTGTTAAATTTTTGTGGTGGCTGCGTGTATTGTTTGGTGATAAAGAAGCATTTAGTTTCCAAAGATTTACGGTGTCAGTATAAAGCCATGTAAAGATATGTAACAACACCGCAAACCGAACCACTCGACGAAACGCAGCGCGCGCATTTTGACGAACAACATTGCAACGAACATCACCACATTTCGGACGAAGTCGTGCAACCACATCGCGCAACAAAATGACGATCCAATTTTGATGTTTGTCGTTCAGTGACAGACGAATACTAGTGGAAATGCCTATATTTATATTCAATACGCTACGAATTATCCAAAAACAAACGACGACGACCTCCGAGACGATGGTGGCAAACGCAGTTATATACCAATAGATCAGCACACGGTTCATGCAATTTGATTGCAGAATTGAAATTAAGTGTACAGTACAACAAGGATGTATCCGACAGACTTTGAATATCTTCTCACGTTGATTGGACAAAAAATACGACGACAAGATACAAAATAGAGAGCTACCATCACATTACAAGAAATATAGTACTTGCAGTCACGGTACGATTTTTAGCGACCGGTGATTTATACAGTAGTTTTCAATACATGTCTCGAATTTCGAAGCAATCGATCAGCTAGATCACCAGAAGATTGTGGGGCATTGAGTTTTAAATGAAAATATACAAGTATTTTGTTTGATTAAAAATTTAATTTAAACAGAAAATTGCTCTAAGCATCAGTGGTGATTTTCCTTAAAAGTGTACTTTTTTTGTTTAAAAATTATGGTCATCCTAACCATACATCAAGGACCTAGAGCGACTACATTACATTTGTATCCAAAACGGATTTGATTCTTATTTATACTGAATGACAACACGTGATATTTGGAGATATCCTCAGTGACATTAGAAGTGTTACACCCAGAAAAAGTAATTTATTCCACTTGTAGTTTTTTTTCGGCAACATAATGACTATATTTAAAGCATGGTATGGCGACAATGTCAACGTTTTATCTTTATTTTTGTTTACCTTTGTTAAAACGTTCTCTTAGTTTTTGTGAAGAAAGCAGTTTCTGAGAGTTGAGTAGTAGGTACAGATATTTTCAGTTATTGCCCTTTCATTTACTACTGCAAAGCATAACAAAATTACTCGATTTCGAATACGTCCAAATGATCACCATGTTAGTGACTTTCACAGGGGTAGATCATTGCATATCGAGATGTTGGTTTGTCCTATCGCGAAATTGGCCACCGTGTTAATTGTACTGCAATGACGGTAGTGCATGTGTGTCGTGTGTGGATAGGAAGTGGTGTAAAAATTGATGCAACACCTGTACGTTTAAATCAAATTAGATTTTCTATTAATCGAACAGAATTATTTTATGGGCAATGCAAAATTTGAATTTGAACACGAAGAAGGCCATCTGGTCCACCGAGGCGTATCACAGAGCGTGTAGACAGGCGCTTCAAACAACAGCCCTACGAGACCGTTTTGCTACTATGCGTCAGATCGTTGAACAATGGTTTGGAGGAAAAGGTAGACCTGTTACTTTGCGTACACTCTATCGCCGCATTCGAGCCTTTAGGATTTCTCCATATCGTCCACGGTTAGTGCTTCCTCCATTGTAGCCAACGAAGAACGGCAACATTGGGAGGTAGAATGCATAGTGTCATTTTCAGCGACGAATCGCGATTCTGTCTAGGTATGCACGATGGTCGTAGAAGGGTAAGACGCCACCGTGGAGAACACCGTAATATTGGATTTGCTGTTGGAGTAATGGTTTGGAGGCTATTGGCTATAGTAGCCGATCACCCCTTCTCTTTGTTCAAGGCAATATGACTGTTGCGCGTTATGTTGATAATGACCTATAAACCACTTAACTGCCGTATCTAGAGGGCCATCCACACGTCCATTTTCAGCAAGACAACGCACGTCCTCATATTGCTCGTCATACTACGGACTTTTTTTCAAGAAGCAGGCGTTCATGTTTTGCGGTCTCTACCACATTCACCGGATTTAAATCCCATCGAACATGTGTGCGATATAATGGGAGGAGACTATCCACGTTGCACCCTCTGCCACAGCTAATTCATGAAGTTCGAGTTGCTTGGAATGAGGTACCAAACCAGACATCGGTCGACGTATTTTGTCGATGCATAGATCTATACAGAAGTGTATTCAGCTGTGAGATCGCCTAACAAATTATTAATATTGTTTTTTATTACCTGTCAATAAAATTTCTTGAGAATGTTATCATTTCATTCTTGATGGAAGAGCCAAATAATCAGGTTGAAGAAATTATTTTTTCTGGTGTAACACTTCTAATGTCATTGAGTATATTCAAACAATATGGTTCCACTGCTTTAATTCTGTTTTTGCTCATCATAAAAATGATCGGCAACATTAACTAAGAAATGTTAGAAAAGAAGGTTGCTTAGAGTAACTTATGATGACATCTACTCTTTCATCTATAATCGCCTAAGGTTTAACGGTAAAATGTATGTGTATCTGGAAACATTTAATCGATGTTTTCCCACTCCTCTAATTCTGTTTTTTGTTGTTCATGAAAATCATTGCCATATTTTACAAAAAGGTGCTAGATTATAGAAAAGAGGTTTGCTTACGGAGACATGATGACACCGACTCTTTAATCTATGATCGCCTAAGGTTCAAATGTAACCTTTAAAAACGTATGTAAGCCTGGTAACATTTAAACAATAAATCATGCTTACGTAAACATTGGTAAAGGGCGTGTCATCCGTTGGTTTCTTTTTTAAATTGGTATTAAAACTACACTCTCCAATAATATGCAACACTCGATACTTTATTCAAAGGATACCCCTTCCGATTATTCATGAAAAACAATTTCAGTTAATGGCTGCCGCGGCTGGCCTGGCAGTAGTGAATCTTCTTAACCCAATTTTGAAGCACATTTTCGATAGTTTGTGGGTCTATTTCATCAATAGCTCGACAGATATTTTCCTTAGGAATATCAATTGATTGAGGATCGTTAGTGTAACAGCGGTCCTTAACAGTACCGCATGGGCGTCAAACCACAACTGCGGGCTGGTCAATGAACGTCTCCAAAACGGCTGATAACGCGATGACCGAGCTTAGTGTGTAAAAGATCGATCGTTTCAAGGCTGGGGTGGCATGTTGCGCCCGCCTGCTGGAACCAGAGATTGTGCAAATGCATTTCGTCTAATAGTGGCCACAAAAACTCCTCAACATTTCTCTATAGCGTTCCCGTTACCGTCTTCATCTTGAAAAAAGTAGGGACCAATAATCCCACCACTCCAAAAGCCACATCAAACAGTTATTCCTTTTGGATGCATTGGTTATCTACGACGATTATGTGGATTTTTAGAACCCCAAATCCTACAGTTCTGCTTGTTTACGAAGCCTCCCAGATGGAAATGGGCTTCGTCCGAAAAGATGATTTGGCGACCAAAATTTACGTCCGCTTCCAATTGATTTAGAGCCCACGCAGAGAAACGATATCGGAGCGAATGGTCATTTACTTTCAATTCTTGCACAAGTTGCACCTTGTAAGGAAATAGTCCCTGGTCGTTTATGCAATATTCTCCGCACAGGAGTGCGACAGATGCCCACTTGTGCTCTGTGAGGAGTTGACATTATTGCGTTTTCACGCATTCTGGGCAACAGCAGCAATGTTTCGGCTGTACGTACGGGTCGAACCGTTACCACCGAGAGTACAAGGCCAAACAACTGGGCTCTGAAAAGCCTGTGACGTCACGCAGAGTAGGTCTATGCATGTTCTTATGGAGTTTCGCGATGACTGGCCGGCAAGAGAACCGCGCCACCATTTATCTGGGGTGTTGTCATATCTAGGTTTGATATAACAGTATCGAAATCTCTACTAATTAGTTGTACCTCTCTGTGGGCGAATTTGCAAGATGTACTCGGGGCCTGCGCAGCTTCAGTGATGATGTGATATTATTTCTGATCTGCCTCAGTATGTCAAGAATACATTTTCGATATTACGTTCAATCTGTCACTTGTGAAGTCTAATATTCCATTCAAAATTGGAATGTGGCAACCTTGCCAACTAACCTCACATTCTGAGCTCATCTTTCATGCTATGTAAACTGAAAATTATTGATGTTTTAAACTTATATTTGTGTCTCGCGATTGTTTAGCTAAGTTTTCAAAATGCCTTACAAGTGCTGCGTTCCTAATTGTGTCGGTAATTACGAAGGGTCCGAAGGTACACGTATTTTCGTTTCCATTGAACGAAAACTGTCGTAAAAGATGGCTCAATGCAATCCCTCGTAGTGATTTAGTGGTTACAAAATAACCCGAGTATGTAATTTGCACTTTGCTGAGGACAGCATCATTTGGAATCCACCTTCCATGACGAAAAGACAGGTAGGACCATTACTGTACCCTTAAGTATCCAAAATTAAAGGCAGATGTAATTCCAAGTATCTTTGCAAATTGTCCAAAATACCTTTCAAAGGACATATCAAGCAGAAGAAGCCGAGATGAGAAATTGAGGGACAAGGAACAAGAACAACTACTTAAAGCACTGCAAACTAGCATTGATGATTATTCCTCCTATCAAAAATCAACTTGTTTTCAAAATTATTCAGACTTTCTCACAGTTTTCAGTTCATGGCAATGTCCATATGGGTGGCATAAAATTGTTCAGGATAAAGTTACTTGTTTAAGTTAGAATATAAACCAGCACCCATCATAACTCACTCTGTAATTGTTGATAAAGATCTCAATGTAAAAACGTATATGTACTCCCAAGAATTGTTACTCAACTCAGGTAATATTAAAACTCCATTTTTATTATCTAATATACACCACTTGGATGGTGTTCTGCATGTTCTTTCTGAGAATGCAGATGCTTCGAGGGAATATTCAGGTAAACAGTTCAGAGCCACTATCAACCTGCTTACAATATTTTAAATAGCACAGAACTATTCACCGAT